GTTTAGTGAGACTCTCTTTGCACTCACTGTCCCACACAGACATTGCAGAGGGTACAGCAGGCAGTGGTGGGTTGCAAAAAAATCCCTCAGGTTGTCCCTCAGATATTTTGGTCTTGCTGCACGTGGAGCTTGCCCTGGTGATCAGGAAGACATGCTTGGAAATTTTGGGCAGCTTGAACTGAAAATGCTTTCCAGGAGAAGACAATTCAACATGGAAACCATTTTTGGCCATTATCAGATCTCCCTTGGCTAATTCAGGAAATGTGGGAAGAAGGCAGAGGTTTGTTTGTAGGTCCTGATGCTTAGATGCAAACTCACTTTTTTGGGATGCAAACTGGCATTTTTGGAATAGGTCTGGGGGGCAAGGACTGGAGAGTGAAGAGGGGAAAACCTCCTGAAATGCTGGGCATTGGTTCTTTATGGTCAGAAAGTGCTAGTAACCCTCCCAAATGCGAGCTGGATTCTGTAATTGGAGCTGGAGCTTTAACAGGGATGTTGATGTGACCCTGTAATGAGAGAAGGTTAAATGTGTGCTTAAGTGCTGTGCTGAGTTAGGCACTTAATGAATGTCTAATTAGTTTTGTCTCTATGTGAGCATTCCTGGAAGACCATTGCAGTGCTGTCACATTTTGGTGGCCCAAAAAGATAAGCATCATTCCCTGGTACATCTGCTCTTCATGTCCCCACCTTGGAGGGTTCCACGATGCTGACTGCAAAACAAGGCTAAAAGTGTCCCTCAAAATAATATATTTTGATATATATAAAATATATACATCTTCTTCTTGATAAATCAGGTGGCTCCAAGGCTCGGAGGGTTTTTATAATGAATGGGTAACTGAAACACAGTAATGCTGCACTGATGTGCTGGGGATTTTCCTGCCTTTCCTGCTAAATTTTTCTGTTCTTTTGCTGTCCCCATTGCTCTGAACAAAATCAAACCCCCCTTCCCCACATGTGCTCATCACTTTTGTTTTGTTAGTGGTGTTTTATCTTCCACTTCTAGATGCTTTTCCACCTCTGCCACATTGATTAAGGTTTCTCAGAGTGTCTGATTCCTGTTTGGAGAGGCCCATGAACAAGTTCCTTCTCAACCTCTGCTGCATTAAGTGGGCTGGTCTCCATAAATCTCGCACTGCTGGACACACCCTCCAAAGGTCTCTTGTTGGAAGTTTTGCTTCATGCTTGGAGTGTTTTTTGGTCAAAACACGCTTTGGTCTCCTCAGCTAGGCTGAGCTTCTGTCTGGATTTGTGGCTGAGTGACTTCTGAGTGGGGTCCATGATGTGGAAGAAGAGCCAGAGGCAGAGAAATTAATCAATTCCCACCCTCCCTGCTGCAGCAATCATCTTGTGTGGCACAGCTCCCCTCCCCTGGAATCTCCAACCTCACCCAGGGCAGGAATAACTCCATAAGTCATTTCCTATATTTGAGATGAACTTTAGTGGCCATGAAAGCTGCAGAGATTGATAAAGAGCTGTGAGTAATTGCCATGGGGCAGATCTCAAACCTCTCCTTGACATCTTCAGCTCCTTATGACACACTCTCTGTTCCTCCAGCAAGAATCCCCCTGGCTGGAGCAGCTGAGCTTGCACACAAAGGTGTTTGGCTTTGGTTTTGCCTTGGTGCTGGATTTGCCAGCTAAATAGCAAAGGGATTTGGGTGAGTGCCTCTCAGGAAGGTGTGCTGCATTCCAGCTCCTCGCTCCTCCACCTCTGTCTGTCCCTGGACATCCCTGAGAGCAGAGGTTGGATGTGGTGAGAGATGGACAGCAAAACACAGGGGAAGGAAGCACTGATTTCTCCTCGTGTGTAAAACTTTCCTGGGTAAACTGCTGAAATCATTGGGGATTTTACCTGATGTCCCCCAGAGTTTAACTCCAAATCTCAGCAGCTGACAGCAAAACCTGATATTCCTTCCCAGCTCCTGCAGGAGGAGGTTGGTTAGAGCCTGGCAAGTGGCAAAGAGGTCACCTTGTCACCTGCAGGGAATCCCCACTGGACCCATGTGGGCAGCTCCTGCTGGGAATGCCCCTCTTGCCTGTGGTCAGGATGTTTCATGGATGAGTAAAATGTGGAGAACTCCTCCCTGGAGGCTGGAAAGGGGGGTTCTGGCTCAGTTTAAACACTGAGATCTCTGTGACCTGCTCAAGCCCTGCCTGCCCCATTGTTGTCCTCTGAGAACATCAAAGACCTTTACACGTGGAATGGAATGGAATGGAATAGAATAGAATAGAATAGAATAGAATAGTTTTCAGTTGGAAAAGACCTGCAATGATTATCTAGTCCCACTGCCTGACCAAAAGTTTAATTAAAGGCATTGTCCAAGCACTTCTTAAGCACTGGCAGGGATGGGCCATCAACCAACTCTCTAAAAAGCCTGTTCTGATTTTTGACTTCTCTCTCTGCAAATAAACCCTTCCTAATGTCCAGCCCACACCTCGTCTGGGGCTTCACGGGATCCCAGGGAGAATGAAGCGTGACCCCACAGCACTGCTGTGAAGTGACAGGGCAGAAATTCCGTGTCCCGGCTGCTCCCAGCCCTAAATCCATCCCTGCAGATCCATCCCTACAGATGGAGAAAAACGAGCACAGGAAAGCGATCAGTTCCATTGTGAACCCAGCAGCTTGTGGACATGATCACAGTGCAGAAACATCAGCAATTACCGGCTCGATGCGCCTTCCTTGTCACAGGGAGAGTAAAGGTGGAATTTACATCCAGTTGCCGAGGGAGTTTCACAGGCAACTGCTCCCATTATTGCGACGGGGACTTTTACGGGTAATTTAATGAGTGGCAGCCTGGTGAAAGGCTCGGCTTTTCAGTTTCCCTTTTTTCTCTCTCCCTCTTTTATTCTTTTTTTTTAATTTTCTTTTTTTTTTTTTTTTACATCCTCTGGTATTCAGGTTCTGTAGCAGTCACTGCAAAATGTTTTGTTTGGGAGTACAAGGTGAAATTAAGGTGCAGGGAAACACTGACACCAGAGTCAAAATCATCATGTCTCTGGAGTAGCTCTCCATCTATGATAGCAGAAAATGAGGGTGATGGTACTGACACCTCAAAGGGAGAGTGCACAGAGGCATTCCTGTCCATTTTCACCACTTAGCCTAAATATTTGGCCCTCACCCACCTTGAACATCTGATGTTTTTAGGTAATGGGAGCAGGCTGAAAAATTGAATTTTTTAATTTTTAAAAAAAATTTTAATGAGAGGAACTGGGTCTGCAGAGATATTTAGGTGTTTGATTCACCTGTTTGGTGCCTGAGCTCCCTAGACCCCAAATATTAAGAACTGTCCTACTTAGGACCAATGAACATTGAACCAATTAATTTCTCTGGGTTTTGACTGTATAAAATATGTGAAAAATCTAGTAAAATTCATGTGTGATGGAATGATTTTCTCTGCATAACCCGGGCAATGTGTGCATACAATGATTTCTCTTGCACATCCTGGCCAGAATAACGCAATGCCTTGATTCTCTAACACTAAAAATGTTGTTGGAGAATTTCTGTTTCTCCTGCAGGTTCAGTGACACTTCCAGAGCATCACCAACACCTCTGTAACTCATCTCTTTTCCCACATCTTCCCGTTCTTACAATCAGTGAAATTTTAACAACATCTACGGGTGTTGATTCTATCTCCTACAAGGCGTACATTCCCCAGGACAGTATTGGAGCAAGCTTGGGATAATTAGGTTAGAAACCTGGTTTGGGATTCTCAGCAAGCATCCTGGGGAGGACTCAGCAGCTCTGTGTCTCTGGGGTGGCTCTGCCAATGTCACCTCCAGCCTCTGAATTCCCTTTTGGCATACTCTCTTCTTGCAGACAGCAATCTGATACTGAAATCCCATATTTTATCCTTCAGCGCGGTGAGACAGCCAGGCTGGGAAAGGACGTCCTTTAGCACATCAGAATTGCAGATCTGTTGAGTTTAAATATATTTCTTTGTGTTCCCTGGCTCCAGTTTCAATAGAGCGATAATTGCCACACACCTCATTAAGCTGAATGCTCTCAATAGGTCTTGAGTGGTCCATGTCATTAAACAAACAGTTACTGGCTTGGGATCTGCACGGTGTTTAGAAGCTGTAAAGAAGGGACCTGGAGGCTGTGAAACTGCAGCTCCAGCTTCCTGAAGAAATTGGGCTGCCCTGGCAACTTTGCCCTGCTGTTTCCAGGGCCCTTTGAGGAGTCTGACCCTTCCCTGCGCCCTGAGGCAGGAACTGGTGCAAGTCCCTGGCTTTTTCGCCTCGCTTTGATGGATGCCCTGGTCTCTGCCAGTTTGGATTTTGGGATTTGGAAGCTAGCACTTCCCTACTCATTGGTTTTTGCTCAGGAGTTTGGGTGTATTTGAGTTGAAGGTGCCCAAACCACAGAAAAATTATGAAATTCAGTGTATGGCACTGAAAACAGGAGAAACAGCTGGGAGCAGGGGTGCTGTCACTCATTTTCAGGTTCATATCCTGAATCTGAAGTCTGAAGGATCAAGAGGCAGGGTTTTGGCCCCTTATCTTTTGTTGAGACCCCAAGACTGATCAGAAGAGGACCTACAGAGAGATTCTGCTTCAGGATCTACTGGAGGCTGGGTTAGCACAAGGGCGAATGGTGATTCCACATTTCCCTGTTTAATGTGTTCTCCCAGACTAAACCCATCCACATGGAAAGCTTTATTCAATCATCTGTGTGCACTTCCTGTGCATCTCTGTATCCCAAGTGTCTGCTGGATGAAATTGAGGGTTAGTTTTGGTATCTCCCTCCCATAACTTGACTAAACTTGTGACCAAGACTATCAACAGCAAACCATTCCTGCCAGCTCTGGTCAGATGTGGAAGTATGGAAGAAAGGCACTTCAGGGCATGTGCCATGAGTGAAATAAACAGGGCAGGAGATCTTTCTCCTTTTTAATGCCTTTTTTAAAAAATTCAGCTCAGGTTGGGGAGAAACAACAGGTCACCTGTGCCGCTGGTGCTCCCAGGAGTGGCACAGAAAAGGAGGAGGAGGATGATGGTGCAGCTGTGTCCGCTGGTCTGCAGGCAGAGCTGGGGCTCCTGTCCTCCACAGAGTAGTGGGAATTCCACTTTTTCTGTCTAACATTCCAGGTCCTCTTTCTAGTTAAGACCTTTTCAGGTTAGGGTGAGAAATCAAAAGGATCTTGGCAGATACTGGATTAAGTTCCGCGCCTTTAGACATTACTTAGGTCTCTTAATTCCATGTTGGCTCGTTGTTTTTAAGGTTTTTTTCCTGGAAAATTACAAAATCTGGTGAAATGCATTCTCATCTGCATACCAGCTCTGATGTCACCCCTCCCCTGCTACCTGCGGGGTCTGGTGTCACTCCCTGGGACGCAGCAGGAGGGGACAATGGCGCTGATCACCAACCATTAACAGGCAATTAAAGAAAAACTCTCAACAATAGGTGACTGCAACACGAAGCTAACCTTCAACTCAACAGCAACTGGTCTAACTTGTTTTAACTCTGCAACCTTAAAAAAAATTGATAACTTTTTAGTCATAACAGTGAAGATGATGAGGGCAGGTTCAGGTTGTCCATTTACCTCCTTAAGTGCCCAGCCCTGAGCTCAGGTGGGCAGGGAAGCAGCTCAGGTGTGCTCTGAGCTTCATGGCTTTAAAGTTAGTGCCCTGTGAGGCAACCACAAAAGCCTTTGGCCAATCAGGCTAAAAGCCAACATGTGAATATATCCACAGGCAAGATTGTTGTAGGGAGATGCCACTCCAGTCTCCATGAGCAGTTCCTGTCCATGAAGATCACAGAGTGACAGAGTGGGTTGGGTTGGAGAAGACTTTCAACATATCTCGTTCCAACTCTCTGCCATGGCCAGGGACACCTTCCACTATGCCAGGTTGCTCCAAGCCCTATAAAACCTGGCTTTAAACACTTCCACGTGGGACATCCACGAAATCTCTGGGCAGTTGTGCCTGGTGGAAGTAGTGCTCAATGGTACCACTTTGCTCTTGATGTCCTTAAACCTGGGACTGGGACTAGTCTGTACAGACCTGGATTATAAGGGGTTTTGCACCAGAATTCCAGTTTTGGATGTGCTTAGAACTATGCTATGGTCATTTCCCAGGAGAAGATCACTTAGGAATATGTGTGAGGGCTGCTGTTCACAGCTGGGTTTATTCAACACTCATCGTCTTCCCTGTTAGCAGGGGTCAGTTAAAGAATTATCAGTAAATTGACTGATGACAATTTCTGTCCACAAAGTCCTCTCCTTTTCATGCCCTTTCTTTCTCCTTTGTTTCATTTGCTGGGTCTAGTTGTTTGTTTTTCATTTTAATGTCCTGCTTGGCAGGAATTCATAGAATCATGGAATGGTTTGGTTTGGAAGGGACTTTAAACATCATCATCACATTTCAACCCCCTGCCACAGGCAGGGACACTTTCCACTAGACCACATTTCTCAGAGTTCCATGCAGCCTGACCTTGGACACTCCCAGGGGATGAGGCATCCGCCAGTTCTCTGAGCAGCCTGTGCCAGGTCTCCCTGGAGCTCTAGGCTGGAAAACCCCAACTCTCCCAGCCTGTTTTCATAGGAGAGGTGCTCCTAGCCCTCTGAGCATCCTCTTTAAGGTCAGCCAAGATCAAGGAGTGATGCCATGACTTGAGATTATCAGTGTTTATAAGAGGAAGGCTGACAGAAGGCAGCAAAGGAGCTGCTCAGGAGGATGGCTGGGTTGCTGGGTGGGGGACACTTGATGAAGAAGAAAAGATGCAGGGACCAGGAGGGTCCCCAGGTAGTCATAGGGAAGTCATTAAGGAGATTGCTTGTCATGCTTCCGTGTTTTTGGGCCACGGAGGAGCTCAGGAAGCCTCTTCAGGGAGTTCAGCCAGCTGCCTCCATGGACCCACCGCAGCTGAGGAACCATCAAGGAGAAAACAGACCCTGTGGATCCCACGATGGATCCCACCCGCTGCCAGGGCAGGAATGGCTTTCCTGGCTCAGCAGATTCACCTGCAGTGTTTCCCTCTGTGCCTTCCCTTTCCTCCCACCAGCCCTGGTGTCCTGTCCCAGCTCAGCAGTGTCAGGTTTGAGCCTGTTTTCACTGGAGCTGGTGGAATGTTCTGTGTGGGTTTGGTCTTGGCACAATCTGTCGCCTTTTTTTAGCTTCGGGGCAGAGGAAAAGTTGAAGCTTTTCCAAGCCTTTAAACACCATGACCAACCATCCCCACTCCTGAGCCTGCTGGATTGGCCCCCAGCTTGGCACTCTACTGTCCCTTCTGAAAAACAGAGCTCTGTGATTACTGGGAAGGATGAAATTTCCTACCATGTGAAGTCTCCTGTGATAATCTCAACTCCTCTCATTGCTGCTCATATCCAAATCTTCATGACCCTTATTTTCTAGCCATGCCTTTGGGATTGTCCTGCTACCAGCACCCTCCTGAGTCTTTTTCTGGGCATAATATGAGATATTTAGAGCATTTCTGGCCTGGGTGGGATGGTGGATCAGATAAACCAGTTAACTGCTCTATTAGCTATTTTTTTTTGGTGAGTGGAATCACTCAGGCTGAGCTTACACTCGCCAAAAACTTCATAGACTGATCATCCTTGGGATGAGGCTGACTCAAACAGTGGATGAAGGAGTAAAAATCAGACAGATAAAGCCAGAAATGTCCTTTCCTTGGGGTTCTACCTGGAAAGAAAACCAGGAGGCAAAGGGACCTATGACAAGTAAATAAAAAATCCCAGGAGCAGAACAAGAGGAGGTCTGGGGTTTCCAGTATGTGCTGGGTGAGCTGTGTCACCCATCAGGAGTGGTTCCTGCTCTCTGGAGAGGGGCTGGATGAGCAGAAGGCCTTGGAGAAATGCCATAAATATTCTGGATGCTTCAAAGGCTTGTGGAGGAGTGTTTGTCTTGCATCTTCTCTGTCTGGATCAGAATTCCTCTCAGTGAGCCAGGGCAGGCACTGGACACTCAAAGAAATGCTTTTAATACCACAGAAGGAAAATGAAATAAATGAAGAGGCGGTGGAGGAAGGGATGGATGAAGCACAGAGCTGTCCTGGGGCACATCTCCATTCATGCATGTCCAGAGAGCCAGAGGAACACAGCTGGGTCTGGTGTGGATGTGCACACACAGGAATGTGGAGCGCGGCTGGAGAGCTGGGAATGTCCAGTCTGGGGAAGAGAGGCTCCAGGGAGACCTTCCAGTGCCTGATGGGGCTCCAAGAGAGCTGGAGAGGGACTTTTGGCAAGAATGTGTAGTGACAGGACAAGGAGGAATGGTCCTAAGTTTAAGCAGGGCACATTTAGATTGGATATTAAGAAGGAATTCTTCCCTGAGAAGGTGCTGAGGCCCTGGCTTAAATTTTCCAGAGAAGCTGTGACTGCCTCATCCCTGGAAGAGTTCAGGGTCAGGTGTGACAGGGCTTGGAGCAACCTGGGATAGTGGAATGTGTCCCTTCCCCTTAAAATTAATATAAAGGATAAAATGTCCCAAATTAACTATATAATACTTTTATCCCCAATCATATATCTATTTATACTAAATAACAAGTTTTACACCTTTAAAACTTATTCCAAAAATAAAAGAGAAAGAAAAAAAACACACAATTTATTTTCAAACACTACTTACTCCTCCACATTCCTACTCCTAAACTATTATTATCTACAGAAAAACAAACAACAAAACAAAACTCTCCTTTATTTTTAATTAATTTTAACTAATTAAAACAAAAAGTTCCCTGAACTATATGTTTTTTCTTCTTTCTCTTTAAACTTATTTAAACCTATTTTAAACTAAACACCCAAAACAGCACCAAGAACTCACACCTGTAACCCACCAAGCCAAGCCTAAACCACAACATTTCCAATACCAAAAAGACTAGTAAAAAACTAAATAAACCAAACTACAACCAAAAAAAACTTTTCTAAGTTTATCATCTCTTTTAAAACAAACAAAAAAAATGTTTAATATTGTTTGTTTTATTGTTTAATCAACAATTTTTCCACTTTTCTCCAAAAAATACAACCAAAAAAAACTTTTCTAAGTTTATCATCTCTTTTAAAACAAACAAAAAAATGTTTAATATTGTTTAAGTTTTATTGTTTAATCAACAATTTTTTCACTTTTCTCCAAAAAATATTTTCCGCCAAAGGAAATTAAAAAAAAACCCCCAAAACAGTTAAGTGTACTTTTCTAAAAAAACCCTTTAAAAAGTCCCTCCCAAATTTACCCTAAACCAAAACAAATACATCCAGTGGGACACCTATTATTTAATTAAATTATTAACATTATTTTTAAGGGCTCTTCCAATTTAATGATTAAATTATTTTTAAGGTCTCTTCCAACCCAGCCATGAACAAATCCCAGTGCTGAGACTCCCATGGGAAGCCCCAGCACCCCAAAACACACAAATCCAGGATGAGCAGCTTCCCACTGGAGGGAGAGCATCCATGGAGAACTGCATTGTGCGAACTGACTGCAGGAACAAGAAGCTGACTCACCCTTCAACCTTTTCCCTGCTTCTCCCAAAATGTGCCGCGAGGCCTCTCTGTGCCTCCTGGTGCATTCCAGGAGGAGATGGATTTGTTTGTGCTGGTGGGATCCCTCCCACAAAAGCAGAGTTTCTGTTGCTGCCCCCAGAGCCAGAGGACACTGAGGGGTTCCCCAGAGGGGCTTGAGAGCTTGGTGGGAAAGGACAGCCTGCGTGGTTTGGGGTTCTGAGGGGACAGAGAAAGGACTTGCTCTGAGGCTGCACTCAGCCAAAGCTGTCCCCAAATCCCAAAAAGAATGTGGGACACGCATCCCTCTGCCCCACCCTCCACAGCACAGACTTCTCCTGCTCCATACAATGCTTCTGATCTGCTTTTAAGCCCAGTTTGTGCTTTACTGGTAGTTTGAACCCCTCCTAGGGACCCCTAGCTCTTCCTCAAAGCTCTCCCTACTCCCTGATGTGAGGTTTATCATGCAGCATCTTCCCCTGCATCATCCACACTGGTTTTTGGGGCTTTTACTGGAGAGTTGTGATTTTGGAGACTTTTGGGGGAGTTGTGATTTTTGAGACTTTTGGCTGCTCTTCAACT